GAAGCCACACAGCTTTGTGAAGAGGTTATAGATACTCCCTTTAGACAAGTAGATAGTCCTTCAAAGACAGCTTCAAAGGTTGTTGTTTTTGAAAGTATTCTTTGTTTTTGTACAGCTTTTCTAAGTTTTGAAAAGGTATAATGATAATTCAGTTTTTTTTATCAAGTACTTGGACTTCATGTTTTTTTCTACACATTAGTATAATTCACTTATAATTTACCTGTACTATAATGCAAACAATTTGTAAAAAAATCACCTTTAATAAAAACTGCAATAAATGTAAAACATTAGATGTCATGTTCAATATTTTATATATATTAATATTTTATTTGGAATAGATTCACAATAAAAAGTTTTATTTCAAAGTTTAGTAAAAAACATTTTGTAATTATTTTGTTAATTCTCAAGTAAAAATAAAAAAATTTTAGGTTATGTAAGAATTATTATATTTGTGAATGTTTGTCATCAAATAACCATAAGTATTTTTTGAATGATTTTAAACATTTCATTTGTATAGCAGAAATTCCTACTAAAATCTATTATGTTAAAACATGAAATATATTCTTTACTTGTCTAAAATTCACCATTAGAAGAGTATTGTTGTGCATAAGACATCAGTCGTGCTAGGAAGATTGAGATAAGTCGAGCAGACTTACCTCTGAAATACTAAAAACCTTTCTTTGTTGAGTTTGAACTCTTGCTGTCAACAAGACGTAACTGAATCTCCTTTACACATCGTAGGCATGCATCACTTATCCATAAATCTCCATTCTCTCACCTTCCACATGAAATATTGTGCAAGCATCAGGAGATCTTGTGCAAGCTCTACTTTCCAACCATAATTTAGATTTTCTTGTTGATAGTCATGCTGTTACCTTTGCTATTTTTTCTAATGCATCTGTTTCCACTAAGTCTAATATCAAATTTTTTGTAAATTTGTTAGAGGATTTGTTTAGAGATCCTGATTCACCTGTTTTCATTTTTTACATTTGAAGTGACTTATCCATTTATGATTCTCACTTTTCGGTCTGGGTTTGGCACTTTGTGTCTTCATATAGTAAAACCATTAATAGTCTTCTACATATACTCAATACCAATTGCTATCATGACTTGGATAATAAGAGGATTCTTGCTCAATGGTTGCCTCATACTGAGTTGACCACTCAGTTAGCTTCTTCTATAAGATGGGTTGTTCATGAATCCAAGTATCAGTTTGTGCCTACTCAATATTTTGCTCATCTGAGATTTTGTATTAAACACCCACTCATTAAATCTTCATCCATCTCCCTTAGCTTTGAAATCTCTGAATTAGGTGTGCATACTTCTCCATCTGCAAAACACATCCTCTTTGATTTGGGGTACATTGGCATCTCTTTATATGGCAATTCCCATGGATAATGCTTATTCAAAATACCATCAATTGGATCTTGTTCTTTCATGTCTATTGGAATTTCTCCTATTATTCTTGATTACCTTCAAGTGTGGTTCATTCCTGAGTTTCTTGTTACAGGTTCACTCTTCTTCCACCTCTCTTCAGGGTTTTGGTGATGTGATGGGGGACCATTATCTTTAGGGTCTGTAGTCTTCTCAAATGTTCCATTCTCATATCATTCTGTTCCAATTGAATGTCCGGAGTTGCTGGTTCATCACATCACTGCTTTTTTAGTATTCACAGACATGATATTTGTGTTGACATATACATAAACAGACAAGGTAGAACTCAACCATACAGCCTATGTTGGCTGCAATTTCTCTATTTGTTTGACTACATTCACAAAATGTCTTTCTCTGGGCTGATATTTCTGTATTTGTGCTAATGGTTCAATCATCCTATGCTTGATATATTGGCAATGGTAGTGCATAATCTTCTAATACTCTCCTAGTTTCCAGTTACAGGTCCAGCTTCTCTAGTAGGGAATGCTTTGAGCCCACCTGTTTTTTTTCTCTCTCTCTCTCTCTGCCCACTCTCTTCTTCATCTTCTTTCTCAGGTATTGGTCAAAATCAGTGGTACCTACTCTGATTGACCCTGATTCTCCTTGTGATGAACATTTTATATATTTGGTTATGGCTTCTTGTTCTTATTTTACAAGAACAGAATTATTTTGAAGGAATTGACTTCAGCTGTTTATACATTATGACAATATGTGTCATTCCATAATGATTATCAACTAATCCCTCATATTTAACTTGATGTTTCCAAAGACCTTAATAATGGATTTCAAGTTATTTCTCATCACATATGCCATTTCACTATGTGTTTTGCTTCCTGGTTTCTGTACCCTTTAACAGACATCTTGCAGGTGGACATGGGTACAAATCTGCATATGTTTTCAATATTTTACCTTCATCATATCACTGTATCTTCAGTTTCAGGAATCCCTTTGCTGCCTATGATTATTTGCAAGGCTCAGTGGAATCTGTCTCTCAAGGGTTTTTATTGTTTTGCCCAAAACCCAGTTTTAACCATTTCCAGAGTATCTGGGATTATGACTACAAAACAAACAATACAGAACAAGAAAAATACAATACTTAAATACAGCCTCTTCTAATGTGTTGAGAATATGTATTTATATAGATTCAATCAGTCAAGTTTCTTACATGCTATTTAATCTCTCCTTTTGTCCAATACAATCCAAATATTTCTGTATTGCCTAATACCACTCTTCACAAATTTAGGATGTCTGTAGTTGAGAGATTTTCTCCTTCCATAACACTCTATGATGAGTTTGTCTAGTGAGGATTTTCACATATTACATATACTTCTGCATTTTTCCTAGAGAAAAATTTCATCCTTTACACTAGAGCTCCATCAAAGTGAACAGAGGGTACGATCTGGTGGGTGATGATGGCAGGTACTTTTCCCATCTTTGCATGGTATTAGGGATATCAGAAATGAGACTACCTACATGTCTCAGTTCCACCCAGGATGTGGGTCATTTATTCTTATTTATATTTTGTTACTGTCCTCACATTTTTAGCACATTCTTCGGAACTGCTTGGGTCTTTTGTCAGTTCTTCTTGAGTGTCGACTAATTTATCCAGCTTTGTGATTTGCTGGCATGCTCAGTATGAAGAAAGAGGGATTTCTGTTTCTAGAGTATATCCTTTCTTAACAGATTTCTGGACAAAGTATTCCTCCTACCTGTATACCACCACCTGTATCACATAGTTCACACCACAGGTGCAATACACCATTACAGCTCGTAAAACCAACCCCTTTATCTGAATTAAAGGCTGTCATAGGTGAAGAGGTACCCTGCCAAGAATAATGCCTTCTTTCTGTGTATCCTTTATATCCAGTCTTTTCATAACTCCATCAAATCCAGTTCAGCAAATTATACTCTGACTCTGCTTGGTAACATATTTATTGTAGTTTAGATTATTCTCTTCCTGCTCTGTAGTTTGTAGTTTTGGATCTTGGGCTTCTTTTCATGTTCATTGGCTCCCAATCTCTTTACAGTGTGGGTATTCTACTTTCAGTATTTCAGAAGTAAATCTACATGATTTGGCAGGAGGGAAGGTATTTTAGAGGTAAATACCTGTTTGAAATTCATTTTAATCCTAAAAGTGTAAAATTAAAAACAAATTATTGACTGATCTTTACATCACATCATTTCTGATAGTGGGATGTAGTAACTAAAATATTACTACTCAGTATTCTTAAGACTGCTCCCTTTAGTTTTAAATGATTTTTTTACCTCATTTAAAGAAGAGTTGAAACTGCTGAAACAGTGACTTTGCATAGCTTTAATAAATACTGTGTTAAAAAATTTTAACTTTTTACTGTTGAAGAGTCTTAGATGGGGCTGTTCTGTTGAATGAGATAGAAGTTACATATCTCTTTTTGAATATTAGAGTGAAACTAAGCCTATGAACAGTGATGGTATAATTTTATGCTTTATATAAGAAACCATTGCTTCTCATCCTAGCAGAATTTATATCTACAATGTGCTATCTGTTTGTTTTTAGCCTGCTCCTCCCACATCTCGTCCTACTAAAAAGGAAGATTGGTTGCGAGCTTACAGCATACGGCAGAAGCCTTTGTATCATAACTGTCAACTCCAAGCTCCTGATGGTGAACCTCTGTGTACGTGTGATATTAAAAAAGCACAGTGGTATATTGACAAAGACCTGGGAGGTGAGTAAAGTTTAAATTAGCTTCTGATTGTGTATGTGTAAAGGTGTTTTTTTTTAATAGCCTTCATATATTTTTTCAAAATAAATATATTCTATGAATTTTTGCATACAGCTTTAATTATGAGTTTTTAATTTGATTTAAAAACTTCATTGTGTTCATCCATTGAACATAATGATAGAAGAAATATGCAAAATTGTCTTCAAATTTTGTCTAACTTGGTAAGATTTTGGCTTGTGGTGTTGTGTTTGAGCTACTGATCTTAACATAGAGCACATATATTTTGTATATAATATTAATATGTTTAGCTTTTTTGTAGAGTATAACACCAAAAGCTGAAACGTGTTAACTTTTTAATAGTTTTTGTAGAACAGTAAAATGAGGTTTTACCTTTCTTATTTAATTTTATTATTTCCAAATCTCATTTGTAATTTACAACCTTTAATAAAACTAAGTATTAGGCAGTGTAGTAATAAAACATTTGGGGAATTACGGATTAAACTTTACCAGAAGTTAGATAAACTTTTTTGCACTATACATATTTAATGTTAGAATTTTAGTTTTTTTTTATCACATTTAAATTATATTAATAAGACCTCAAAGTTTGTGAAATATTCTTAAAAAATATTTAATTGAAAAACAAATTATTTGTCAGACATTTTTAATATTCATCTTTTGAGTTCTAGCAGAAAGTGCTATATTTCATTTCTTAGATGTAATTGAAGAAGATCCTCTTATTGTTCGACTGAAGTTTCAACCAGCTGGAAGACCTATCTTAGACAGCAAGTATTACCTGCAAGAGAAGAATAATCAATGTGTTGTATGTGGAGCAAGCGACTCTTACATAAGAAAAATGTGGTTCCACAAGAATATCGAAAGTGTGTTCAGTGTTCTCCGGCCTTTTTTTTCCCTTGTATTTGTGTATATTTTAATAGTTGCAGAAACAAAATATTCAACAATAACTATCCTTTAAACTGAGTAACCTATCAATGAAAATGACTCAGTTTTGTACTTTTATTTTTAGAGCTTAATATTTGAAAAATAAGACATGGTTCATTATGCCATGCTGAAGCTGTTTTTAACTGTAACTGAGCATTCAGTTATAATAATAAGTATGTAAGCACATGCTATAAATTTATAGAAGATATAATTAATGTTATTTAAATCTGTGAGCAGGACATTTATGCCTAGTAGTAGTACAACTTTAAAGAATCTTTCTAAATAAGTGAAAATGTTTCCGTGTGTAAAGTTCTATGAATGTCATTTCTGCAGTTTTGTTTTGTTTTTTAATATTATGAAGATAGTTTTGTAATGAAACTTTCTACCAAAAATACTAATTGATAAAAACGTTTTGTTTTTATAACATTTCCCAACTTTAATATTATTTTGTAATAGGAAGTTAAGTATTTAAGATGTTGAGTTTGTTAAACACTTACATGCTTTATAATGGGACATCAGTGTATCCTGGTATTTAATATCCTAATGTGTTGGTTTTACTTATGTTTAATTACATGTCAGAAAAAAAAACGATTCTGAATATTTTTCTTTACTGTGCTGAAAGATATATAATACACTGTTTCTGGGTTTATGATATGCTATAACATATTATTTGGTATACAGACTACACTTAAAGCATTTAAGTTAAAGACATACCTGTTTGATTCTTATCTGGAACTAACTAAAATTTGCAACAACAGACCATTATTATTTCATAATAACATAAGAAAAGGTTATGATTAATTGCAATATTATAAACAAATATGTTGTTTTTTGTTACTTTAGATATTTTCCATCAATCATGAAGAACCATGTTTCCCATGATATTGTCTTACTGTGTCCTAAATGTCATCATACCAGTAATTTACAAGACTACCCACTTCGTCAGCAGCTGGCTTTGGAATGTAATGCCCCAACTGACACAGAAGATGCAGTCAAAGGATGGGAAGATTCCCAGTTACGCCGAGTCCGATCTGCGGCAAGGTACATGCATACAGAATCGCATTAGTAAACCTTCACCACTTGATAACTAAACATTTCAATCTGAATAAGTTTGTGCATCGAATATTTATACATACTCAAAACTGCAGTTCCGGGTGGTCATGATGTGTAGAGATTTCCCCCATGTGACTAACATGTTTCTTAATTTAAAACAATTTTTTATAAGTTTTTCTTTTTTTTGGGGGGTGGGTAATTTATTATTTCAGTATTTTAACTAGTTAAACCCTGCCTAAAGTATGATATGCTATCTTTATATCTAAATTTATCAGTATATGCTTTTGATACTTTATAGAGCACTTGTCCGAAACAAATCCTCCATCCCACCCAACAGAGTTCAAGAATTAGAGCAATTGCTGAAGCAATTTTATGTTGTCACTGAAGTGTCAGAAGAGTTATTAATAGAAGCCATGAACCTTGATACATGGTAAATTTTATTTTCTTTCATCCCATATGTATAAGTAAGCTATTTGTAATAAAATGTTTATTTTGTTCCTTATCAATGCGTAATCAGTAAGTAACTGTAGTAGACATGTAACCAAAATGCTGTGAATTTTTTTTTTTCTTGAGAGGTGAAGGTAATCTATGTCTGATTTACTTTGTTATTTTTATTATTATTATTATTATTATAAATGTGTGTATAAAGTATTCAGAAGTTTGAACCAAAACCTTGACTTAAAAAGTTAGATATTTTGATAAATTATCATTATATTTAATGTCTTTCAAATTATATTGATAAAAAGAAAATTAATGTTTTAAGTAGAATGGAGCCAAAAGCTTTTGAGTTTTATATTCAAATAGGGAGCATATGTTTATTTTAAGGCAAACATTTTGATGTGTTAATTTCTTTATTAAACTAAAACGTTCTTAATTATTTTATTTAAATCACATCTAGGTTAGATATCTTTACTTTGTTATTTGTCATTTGACTAAATTCAGTAGTTTTCTTCTTTTGCAGTATACCAAATGAAAACTACACACCACATGGATTGAAAGTTGTACAACACATTTCAAAGCATGGAGGTTTGTTGGTGTTAGAGAGCCGATGGAGACAACATTTTCTTGATACCATGAAACCCAGGTTTCTTCCCAAAATGTGGTCTGTTGAGCATAATCATGAATGTCTGGCCTTGAAAGTTGCACAGATAACTGAGCCAAACTTTGATATAAGTGTTCTTGGTTACACTGACCAACAGTTAAAGGAGATTTTAAAAAAATATCATGAATTAATTAAGAACAATGTTTCTCCCAGCATGTAAATAATGTATCATACATTATAGTTAATTTTGTAAATAAAAAATGTTTGTAACTTGTTGTCCTGTTTAATATATTTGCTTGTGAATTATCATGCCTAACATGTTCTATTCAAAAATAAAACAATTCCTTTAAAAAGTTTTTTTAATTACTCAACCTACAGATGGTCATAACATAAATTTGGCCTTCCAAAAATATGCAATAATGACAGGTAGTGTTATTACACCAAAAGGCATAATCCATTAAACCAGAAACAAAAATATTTTACTCTGTTCGTGGCAATGATTTATCTCCAAATTCAAGAAAAATAATTTGGTTCAATAACATATTCCTGAAACTGTTATGTTCCACAACGTGAAAGAAGAGGCCATTGTTTTTAATGGTAAAAGTAAAGCTATTGCACATATTATCATGCGAGATAGAGCAACTAGGAAAACACCAAGCAAGCCTTGTCTGTAATGTGTGTCATTTATCTGAGCACCGAGCAATTGTTTGTAGCCTACAACGTACTAATACCCAAACTTTTGGAACTACATTTCACATATTTGTAATAAGAGGTATAAAATATAAAATTGTGTATGAGATTCGGTGGCAGATGGTTTCACTTCCATAATACCTGTAGTAATATCAGTATCTTATTGCTTCCTCTGTTAGGATTCTAGCCCAAGATTTCCTGGACGCTTGGCGAGTACACTACCAACGGAATTGAACGGCTAACCCACTAACAAGTAAGGCACTTTTCAACAACTCAAACTAGATTATTCCAAAATGTTGTTCAACTGATATTCCAATTTCTACGCTTTGTTTGGGTTCTTTAATCTGTTTTTTCAAACACTACTAATAAAACACTTATTATGTATTGAATACAGTGGAGGAAGGGGGTTTCTCTTTTGGAGTACGAACTTTAAGCAACAGATCATTGCCATATTTTGAGTTGGCTTTTAAAATTATATATTAATCTAATGATTCTACAAGTAATATCTGAAGTTATCACTCATTAAACAAAATGGCGCAACCCATAAAATAAAGAATATATAAATAATACATATTTTTTTAAAGACGAAATTATCTCTTAAACGTTTTTTGAAATGCCACTGCATATTTATAACTTTAGAAGCTACAAGTTTTTAAACAGTTTTCGGTAACGATAAAATATAAATAATTGATGAGAGTGGTTTATGTTGTGTTCAGTATTAAGCAATAACTAGATGTCATAAGCCTGTGTCCTTGGTTTACAAATGCCTGGCGAGCACATTTATCTAGGACACTCAGTTGAACGTGATAAGGTCGCTTATTGGAAATTAAAATTATCAATTCTGGTGTGATACAGTCTTTGGAAAAACGTGTGAAATCATTCATTGAAAGACGAAATTTTGTTTAAGTGTACATTAATAGCTTCTGGTTTAAATGAGTGGAACTGAAACTCATAATGATCGTTACTTTCTGAAGTTCTATTATAACAATATCACGTGGTTATTAGATGGCGCAAATAGAATTATCTTCATTTCTTTGTGAAACTCAGAAAAGGATGGAAAATGAAGTATTTTTTGATACCAATGAAGCACACAAAATTACTATGTAAATATACTGTAAATGAAAACAAACAAATCGAGACTTCAAATAAAAAGATGCATTAGAAAATATGACCAAATGTTATTTTTACTATCTCCAATATTCAAATCCAGTTTAGCCCAACCGAAAACAAGTACTCGTTTTTTCTTTTAAATTTATGCTACACATTTAAATTTCAAAAAAGGTATTGTGGGTAGGAATAGATAAATTTCGCGTTATCTATATACTACTAAAACTCTGAGATTGTTTGTGTGTGTGCTTGTCTGTAATTAAATACAGCAAAAACGGCGCACAATACCG